TAAAGTCAGGTGTATCCTGTCCTGGGAAGCCGCCTCTGCTCACTGGCACCTTTCACCTCCCAGAAAGCTCCCTCCTTGCAAGGCCGAGTAGCTGCCCCTCTGCTGTCCTTCCACGTACCCTGAACGTGCCCCTGTCTGCAATGTGGCTGCTGACGGACTTGCAGGCTTCCTTCACTAAACTGTGACCTGGATTCGTTAGGGACTCTGGTTCCTAGCACATTATCTCATGATACTCATTCAATGTTTCATGAATGAACGAACAGTGACAGTCTCTTGGGTAGTGGCCGCATCTTTCGGAGGTAAGACAGCATGCCTGAGGAAGGCTCCCAGCAACTTGAAACGTTTACATCTATGTAGATACATACATACGGTGGTAAAGCCATCTTTAAATAGAGATCTGTGTGTGTGTGTGTGTGTGTGTGTGTGTATTGTTATAAAAGAATATCTAAGTTTGGAAAAGTGTTCCTTCTCCTTTACCTTATCTTCCCCTTTGCTTTTAAGTTGCCACATAGTGACTATTTTTCCATTGTGACTGCTTGTGCTCAGAGGCATCCTTCATTCTGCTCTTTCAGGAGCTGCACATTTGCACACCAAAACATTTCTCAGTATTCTTACTCAGTATTCAGGACAATATTCCCATGACAGATATACCGAGTAGGTGACAATTCTAAAGACAAAGAGAGAATTGCCACTACCTTACACTATCAATTTCCACTCAGCCTTCTTTTCTCTAGTTTCAATGATCTCAACTCCTTTAGCTACTCCATAAATGGTGACATGCTGGATCAGCAAATATAAATGTTTACACTCAGTTATTACAATCCCAAATGACATTCGTAATTGGCACTCATAAAAAATCAATTAATATTTATTTTGATAAATCTCCTTCCACACTCGGATTGATGAAACATTTGTTATTGTTGAAAAAGGAAGCCTTCATTATATTGCTACTCATTGTCAATTGCTGGTCATTCTGCCCCCTCTTAACATCTTTATATGTCAAACCTTGGGTCATTACAGTCATTTTCATTTTGTCAGCTTAATTAATTTGAAGGTTACCTGAGTTTTATTATAGAATATAACAATCAATTCTAATGTTAAAATGTTTTAAGAATAGTTTTTAAATAAAGAGTAATTTATCATTCTGTAAGGCTAGACATACTAAATTTGTTTTAAGGTGTTATGATCATCTTTAAAAACAAAGTATCTCAAAATAGTTATGTCACAAGGTATTAAATATCACATATAGGAATCCTAAGATTCCTTAGATTCTCTTATCTTAGATGTGAAATTAACAAGGAGAAGCAATTTCTAAAATTGTCTTTTCAATTAGAAATTATCTTTAGAACATTTAATTTTCATCTATCACCATCATTGTTATATAGTCCTTGTAATGAATTGAATTTGATTCTGGATCAATTGCAGCAGACAACATTTCTTCCATTTCCTCTTGAGAAAAAGGCTCACCTCAGAGAGACAAAAAGGAAAATTTATCATTTACGATCATCTGATTTTTTTCTTTCTCTTTCCACTAGTCAGCTTAATAGCCATGGAGCCCCACACACTCCCACACTGTCACTAGTTACGCTCCCTGGAGCTGCAGAGCCAGGATATCATGACAGTCCAGAGGTTCAAAGAGAAGGCTATTGTACACCCTGGCAGATTCTGGACTTCTTTCAGCCTGCAGATGTCATAGATCAAGCAACCTCTAGAACGCGTCATTTCAGGCAAAACAGTAGGAAGACACACAGATATCACGAACAAGGTTATTTATTTAGATGAAAACTTTTGAAATTACCAGAGGATCAACTTGAAGCCCCAGTATTTGATTAAAGATAGAAGGAAAATCACCGAATGGTTAAAGCACAAGTTTGGATTCACATGCTGGCTGCCTCTTACTCGCTCTAAGGTCTTGAGCAAGTCACTTAACGGCCCCACACCTTAGTTTACCTGTCTATAAAATGGAGGTGATAATGACACTACCTATCACACAGGGTTGTCATGAGGATGAAATGTGTTGTGATTTGAATGGGATGTAGAACAGTACCTGGCATATAAGCAGCAACATGTAAGTGTTTGTTTAAAAAATTGTTCTGAGATCTTCCCTCCTGCTAAACACTGTCTGATGCAATACACATTCCTGGACACTTAGGGACTTCTATCTTGTAGGAACTTGATTCAATGTGATTTATTTTATCATATGACATCCTGGGCTGTAAGAATGCATATTCTCAAACTAGCTGATACTTTGTGGATATTATGAAGAGCATGCAAGTAACTTGAATCTATATTGCTATGTAGCATAAATTTACTTAAAAACAATTTGTAGAATTCTGAGACTCTCAAAGTAGCAATTCTTAAGCACCTATTTTACCAAACTAGTCAACTGCTATTACAGTTAGCCGATGGGTCCGTTATATTAAATCATAACTTAGATTTGCATAGTAATTTACATCTTACATATTACTTCCAAACATATTGGTTCATATATGTAGAAGGTTTGTAATAACACTTGTTGAATGAATAATTGAAACCATATATATTCTTACTTGAAAATACCTGTCCTATGCTTAGTCCCCTGAGATACTCAATAGTTGATCTTTAAGTACCATGAACCCTCTGTAAACATATCATTTTTGAAATTATCACACAGTACCTCCAAGTAAACCACGTGATTGCACCATCTCCGTATACACTGCAGTCTGTTCTGACTTTTCTGTTTTAGTCAGTAGCGTTACCACAATACTTGTCATTGAGGGCAGAGCCTTGATGTTACTTTTGATTCAGCTCTCATCTTTGTCACCTACACTCTTACTCATCATGACCCATGGATCCTGCCACAGACAGTCCTACTGTACCAATCCCTTCTCCCCCACTGCCATTTCTGTTGCCAGGTCAGGCCTTTATTTGGGTGCCTTCAGATGCTGAAACAACCTTTTAACTGGCCTCCCTAGTCCAACCTCTTTCTCATGCATCTAACAAACAGACCAGCACCAGAAAAACCTTCTCACAATCACTCATATACCATGTGACTCATCTGCGTAAAAGCCTATAATACTTCTCCATTGCCCACAGGTGAATTCCAAACTCCTGAGCCTGGGACTCCACAATATAGTCCCAGTAAATCTACTGAAGTTAATTTCCTGCTGTTTGCCAACACTACCCTCTGGGCCAGCTAGGCTTATTTTCTCTCTGAAATAGCATGTTCATTCCTACCTCCCAATTTTTGTTCAGACTGTTTTACATATCAATAATGTCTCCCTCTCATTAGCCCCTTCACCTGGTCTTCATCATCTACTCATTCATTCATTCATTCATTCATTCAACAAACATTTGTTGAGATCTACCGTGTGTGAGGGAATTAAAACGCACCAGAGTTTACCTCTGCCCTCAACTTAACCATATACATTCTACCCTCTCAAAAAACCTATTTTCTCTTTAAGTCTTCCCAGACCAAGCTTTCCAGGCTGGTCCAGCCCTGGTTGATCTTCTGATATTGACTTTTCTATGGTCTTGTACTGTGAATTATTTTATGTTAGTTTTATCTCCCCAATAAGATTGTAATATCCTTGAGAGAGGAAGATTTCAGTATCATTATACCTTACTACACTTACTGAATCCTAAACATACAGTAGGCACACAACAGTAGGAAAAGCTAACTGTTTGGGCCATTTTGACTAAACTCATGTTGCCTAATACATAACCTAGGATTTACTTCTTTAAACTAATCCTTAGGATTAAGAAGCTGATGCTTTGAAAGTTGTAACATTCCCATCAAAATTAATCTCTAAGATAATTTTAACAACAGCATAAGAGTTCTTGGGTGGCAGCTCTGATGGTCATGGCATTCTTGCCCTCACTCCCTGTGTTCCGTCTAAAGGTGGATCAAGTTGGGACGGTCAAACCAGTCATGCATGTAGACGCAGTCTTAGTCTTCCCTACTCCAAATTACTTGCACTTTTGATTCTGTCACAAGTGATTAGCAACTGAGTCATTCAGGACTCAATGTGTGAACCAGGGAGCTCTAGCTCTGTATGGGAGAAGGCAAGGTGACCAATATGAGGCTGGCTTCAGGAGACTGTCCATCAGGCCACTGACCTTCAGGGTAAACAACTTTACACATCAGCCTAGCAGAGAGAATTCCTAAAGGAAATACGTTGGCATATATGTAAGTGTGCAGGTTTTACGTGTGTGTGTATGCATATATGTATGATGGGCCATGTTCGAAACAAATATATATGGTTCAATTAACATTAAAAAAGGAAATTTTTAGGGTTAAAAATGACCTCAGTATTCAATTGAGGTTACATTAGCTGTAACTTCACCGACAGAAAAGCTCTTTAAAAAGGAAATTTTACCAGCACTGTGGGAGGCCAAGATGGATGGATCACCTGAGGTCAGGAGTTCGAGACCAGCATGGCCAACATGGTGAAATCCATCTCTACTAAAACTACAAAAATTAGCTGGGCATGGTGGCCTGTGCTTGTAATCCCAGCTACTCAGGAGGCGGAGGCAGGAGAATCACTTGAACCCAGGAGGCGGAGGTTGCAGTGAGCTGAGATCGCGCCACTGCACTCTAGCCTGGGCAAGAGAGTGAGACTCTGTCTCAAAAAAAAAAAAAAGGGAATTTTTATATACTTCTATTCAAATCTTCAATCTAGGAGGAGGCCTTCATTTACAGTGATTGATAGTTCATGTTTTCCAGATGGCATATCTTTTATTCTGGAAATGCTCTGAATGGAATGCCTGAAATTATAGAAGTAATCACTATGCTTCACAAAATCCTATGAGACAACAACCCATCTCCCCTTTCCCTACTCTTTGTCCTCTTAACCCCCACAGAACAGAAACCATCCCCAAGCCAAAACAGTAGGAACAGTAAATAACTTTTTAACCAGAACAACTGATTTTAAAGTATCCCCTATAACTTTCCGCATAACTGTTAACAAATTATTAATTCCTCACATAAGTCACTGTGATAAGTAATAAATCATGCTTACCTTCTTCAGTCATATACTTGATCAGTTCATCCTTAGTAAGAAACCCACGTTTAGCTGAATCTAAAACCTAGGGGAAAAGAAAAGATAGATATTATATTTTTTCATTGGTGAATTAAGTTCTACATGATGAATTTTTCATATACATGTGTATATAAATATATGTATTTATATATATGTATATGCATATAAGCTGGAGTTTACATACCTCAAAAGCTCGAAGAAGGACATCTTCTGGAATTGGTCTGTATCTATAATTATGCAATAAAATGAGTAAATGCCACAGTATTTACTGCAGTCTCTACATAATAAATCAGCAGTCTCCAACCTTTTTGGCACCAGGGACCAGTTTCACTGAAGATAATTCTTCCACAGCCCAGGGAGGGGGAGGGATGGGTTGTGGATGAAACTGCTCCACCTCAGATCATCGGGCATTAGATTCTCATAAGAAGCGTGCGACCAGTCCCTGGCCTGGTGGTTGGGGACCCCTGTAATAAATGACCACATAAAACAAAACAGGGCTGGGCACAGTGGCTCATGCCTCCAATCCCAGCACTTTGGGAGGCCGAGGTGGGCAGATCACCTGAGGTCAGGAGTTCGAGACCAGACTGGCCAACATAATGAAACCCTGTCTCTACTAAAAACACAAAAATTAGCCAGGCGTGGTGGCATATATACGTCTGTAATCCCAGCTACTCGGGAGGCTGAGGCAGGAGAATCACTTGCACCCAGGAGGCAGAGGTTGCAATGAGCCAAGATGGTGCCACTGCACTCCAGCCTGGGTGACAAGAGTGAAACTCCCTCTCAAAAAAATAAAATAAAATAAAATAAAGGCTGCTGATATACTGGGATGATAATACTCGCCTCACTGAAATCTTTTTGGATTTCTGGATATGAAAGTTGAAATACCTCAGCCCCACAGGAAATAGTGCAAAATCACTGACATGTTTGAGGTTATCTATTCGCTTTTTGGAAATCAATTTATCTGGGCACAAGACTTCTATGATGAATGAACTATCGTAAGCTAATGCTATATTTTTGCTAGAAAAATATTAGGATTCTTATTTATCATTGATAATTCAAAATAGAAGATAATAAGAATGTTGATTTACGATTTTTGTAGCTTATTTACCCTCTAATTATGCTTTGCTTAGGATAACACTAATGTGGTTGGTATTTCTAAGCATGTACCAACTGGCAGTTCAGAAGTATCTCGAAAGGTTAGAGGGAGGCCACCTTCAGATACACTGGTTGAGTATAATACACAAAGTGAAAAAGTCAAGCGTCCTGAAATGAACGGATCCGTAATTCAAGCCATTTCTTTGCCTTAACAATTGCATCTACGTACTTACCTCCTTTCTAGTAGCATTTCCGTCATCACTGGAAGAAATTTTTCGAATCGAATGTATCCAGTGGGTTCTTCTTCTTCTACCTAAACATTCAATAAGTAAACAGCCATTGATTCACTCAACAAATGTATTCAGCACCTACTTTTTCCAAGCACTGTAACAAGTGCTGGAGACTCCAGACGGTGAGCACGCTCGGGCATGACCCCTGCTCACAGAGCTGGTACTTTTTTTTTTTAAGATTTCTCTTCATCATTCAACTTGAACACAGCTGATACTCTGATAAGGGAGACAGACATTAATCAAGAAACGCAACACAAATACACTGTGAACTGATGTAAGCACAATGAGGGGAAGGAGCATGGGTCTGTAAGAACAGTCAATAAAGAACACTCGGCCGGGCGTTGTGGCGTAACCCCAGCACTTGGGGAGGCCAAGGCAGGTGGATCACTTGAGGTCAGGAGTTCGAGACCATGCTGGCCAACACGGTGAAACCCCATCTCTCCTACAAATACAAAAATTATATGGGCGTAGTGGTGCACACCTGTAATCCCAGCTACACGGGAGGCTGAGGCAGGAAAACCACTTGAACCCGGGAGGTGGAGGTTGCAGTGAGCCAAGATCACACCACTGTACTCCAGTCCGGGCAACAGAGCGAGACTCCATCTCAAAAAATAATAAAGAAAGAAAGAAAGAGAACACTTCTTAGACCAGGAGACCAGGGAAGTCATCCATGAGGAAATAACACTCCAGCTGGCTTAGAAAGGATGAGTAGAAGGTGACGAGACAGAGACAGCCAGGGAGAGACAGTCACCTAGAGGAAACTGAACATGCTGAGACTCTGTGTTGACACATGGGAGGCTAGGAGGCTGCAGTACAAGGGGCAGGGAGAAGCCTTCAAGACGAGGCTAGAAAGAGAGACGGGGCAAGACGGCAGGGCCTTCTTGTCCACGACAGTGATAAGGTTGCTAGCCTAAGAACAATGGGAAATCAGTGACGGTCTCATAGATGCAGGTTTTGAAAGAGGACACTGGTTGAGGGTGAGGCAGCTTCTTTAGTAGTCCAAGCAGATATGTCAAGGGTCTAGATTGGAATGACGCCATTGAGAGAGAAATGGATGGCTTCAAAAAATATTTTAAGAAGTGAAATTGATAGGACCTGGTCCTGCATTCATTATGAATAAGGATGGAAAAAACAGAGGATTCAAGGATGACTCCCAAGATTCTGACTTATACCACTGAGATAAGGTCATGCTTTTCCCTGAGATAAGGAACCCTGAATGAGGCACCAGGTTAGGGGACCAATCACTATCTCAAGGACCAACTACATCTTAAATCATCATACTGACTTGCATTAAGTACCTACATGGTAAACAGAACTTTGTCACACCACCACGAGATTAGAAGACTATACCTGAGAAAGAGAATGTTTGGCATTTAGCACTATTAAATGAGAACGAAACAGATCCCTGTCCATGGGTTCGACTTGGATGGAGTGGCTGAACAAAACACCATTGACCTTAACTTTCATGTCAGGCTATCTATAAGGAGCTGTAAATTTTCCACTCTCTTTCAAAAATCCTATTAAAAGGCTCATAGATCCCAATTCAGCAGATGAGCTTTGGACAGATTTATTCTTTGAGCAAAAACAAACAAGCAAACTAAAAACTATAGGTTGCTGCTAAGTGGAACACACCATCATCCAAATAACTCCTATTTTTTCATGTTTATACTAGATTCACACCTAGCATGGTGGAACCCTCAGACTCCACTCTCAGCAGAAAATGCAGTGCATTCAATGACAGAATTGTGTGTTTCAGAATTTCTGAGTCCATCCATTCATGAACAATTGTTCTCAGTTGCCTCTAGGTCCAAGGCGAGCATTTTGCAAATTAATGTTCACATGGCTCTGATGCGCTTGAGTAGCACTCTGCAACTCCCTACTCAGGAGCCTCGGACAAATACAATGTCAATCTCATGAGGTTATCTCCAAAGGAGGAATTTTTAAATTAAAATGTTGAGTTGCTATTCTGGTTACTCTAGAAATTTGCTCCAGAAGCAAGAGCAATGGTTTTTTTCCTTTCCTCCCACCACCAACAAACCACTGTAGAGCACATGCACCCTGATCAAGCTACAAACTGTTGTTTGTTGTTCCAAAGGAAGTTCAACTCTATAATTCCATCTCCATCATGGAAGAACTCACAAATGACACATAATATATGCCTCATATCGCTTTCCCGGGTTCCCTCACGACTTTCACAAACCCTCAGGGATGTGAACATTATGGTGCAAACTCCGCAGATTCTTTCTTGCCTAATAGATCTTTGTGGAACCAAAATTACACGAAAATAAGTTAAAACAAAACAGCCAACTAGTCAGAATAGCGGACAAGTCATAAATGTTCTTTGTTATTGTTGTTTTTAAAGACGGACAATGAATAAACAGGCCTTGTGGTTAGAAAATAAGAAAAATGGTTATGACCATCTTCAACTTGGACAGAAATTGTAACATCTTTCTATGACCCAACACTGTCCTCTAGAGGCCATATCCAATTTGTTCTTGAGCACAAAAACATGTATAAGCAATGGCATTAGAAACAATATAATTACATAATAATTCCAAGTACAGCATTCATGGAAAGTTTAATATAGACACCATTTTATATTATAAAAGGATGTTTATATTTGAATAATCTTTTGATTTTAGAATAGCTTTAGATATACACAAAAGTTCCAAATACAATACAGAGTTCCCATATACCTGTCACTCAGTTTCCTCTATTTTTTTTCCAGTCTTATTGAGGTATGATGGACAAATAAAAATTCCATATATTTAAGGTGTACCACATGACATTTTGACATATATATACCTTGTGAAATGATTACCATAGAGGCTTATTAACATATCCATGGACTCACTAGTTACCTTTTTTGTATGTGTGGGGAGAACACTTGAGATCTACTCTCTTAGTAAATTTCAAGAATAGAATAATTATTAACCATAGTCACCACGCTGTACATCAGAAATTGTTTTTCTTATCACTGAAAGCTTGTACCCTTTGACCAACATTTTCCCATCTCCCCTACCCTCATGTCTGGTTAACTACCCATCTATTCTGTTTCCATGAGTTTGACTTTTGAAAATGTAACAGAGATCATGCAGTATTTGTCTTTCTGTGTCTAGCTTATTTCACTTAGCATAATGTCCTCCAAGTTCATCCATGTTGTTGCAAATAGCAGGACCTCCTTTTTTTAAGGCTGAATAATATTCCATTACATATGTACATATACACACACCTTTTGTTTATCCACTCATTTGTCTATAGATATGTTGTTTCCATATCTTAGTTACTGTGAATAATGCTCCAATAAACATGGCAATACAGCTAGCTCTTAGAGATTCTGATTTTATTTCTTTTGGGATTTATACCCAGAAGTGGGATTGTTGGATGATATGGTAATTCTATTTTTAGTTTCTTGAGAAACCTCCATAGTGTTTTCCATAGTGTCTGTGCCAATTTACATTCCCACCGACAGGTTCCTTTCTCTCCACACCCTCATCAACACTTTTGTCTTTTTGATAGTAGCCATTATAATAGGTGCGACGTGGTATCTCATTGTGGTTTTGGTTTGCATTTCCTTGATGAACAATGATGTTCATATATACCTGTCGGACATTTGTATGTCTCCTTTGAAAAAATGTCAGGTCCTTTTTTCCATTTTTTTTAAAATTAGGTCGTTTTTGTTTTTGCAACTGAGTTGTCTGTGTTCCTTATATGTATTGGAATATTAACCCCTTATCAAATGTATGGTTTGCAATATTTTCTCCTGTTCCATAGGTTGCCTTTACATTTTGCTGCTTGTTTCTTTTGCATGCAGGAACTTTTTAGTTTGACGTAGTCCCACTTGTTTATTTTTGCTTTTGTTGCCTGTGCTTTTGGTATCATATCCAAAAAATCATTGCCCAGACCAATGTCAAAGAGTATTTTCCCTATGTTTTGTTCTAGTTTTATGGCTCCAAGTCTCACATTTATATCTTTAATCCAGTTTGAGTTGATTTTTGTGTATGGTGTGAGATAAGGATTCAATATCATTCATCTCCATGTAAATAACAGTTTTCCTATCACCATTTACTGAAGACACTATCCTTTCCCTATAGTGTATTCTTGGCACTCTTGCTGAGGATTAGCTGACCATTTATGCATGGCTTCATTTATAGGCTTCCTATTCTGTTCCAATAGTCTATATGACTGTTTTTATGTCAGTACCACACTGTTTTGATTACTATTGCTTTGTAACATAATTTGTAATTTCATTTGTGATATAATTCATCTATCATTAACTCTTACATTATTATGGCACACTTGTCATAACTAATGAATCAATACTAATATATTATTAGTCACTAAACTCCAAACTTTTTTGGATTCCATTAGTTTTTCTAAAATGCATTTTTCAAATATGGTATATTCCAATGTCATAAAAAAGAACAAGAAGTATAGGGTAGATGTTTAATCATGCTGATACCTTGATCTTAAACTTTCAGCCTTGAGAACTGTGAGACAATAAATTTCTATTGTTTAAGCCACTCTGTGTGGTGCACTATCAAAGCGGCTCTGACAAACATTATAACTAACATATATTCTAAATATATATGACATATTTTTATCCAAAGACTTTGAATCACTATCATCAAGCAGAAGTCTGATCAAGTTTGAATCACTATCATCAAGCAGAAGTCTGATCAAGTTTGAATCACTATCATCAAGCAGAGCAGATACTCAGAATTCAGAACTGTATTTCACACCTGTAATCCCAGCACTTCGGAAGGCCAAGGTGGGTGGATCTCCTGAGGTCAGGAGTTTGAGACCATCCTGGCCAACATGGCGAAATCCCATCTCTACTAAAAACACAAAAATTAGCTGGGCATGGTGGTGCGCACCTGAGATCCCAGCTACTCGGGAGGCTGAGGCAGGAGGATCTCTTGAACCCGGGAGATGGAGGGTGCAGTGAGCCGAGATCACACCACTCCACTTCAGAGATCACACCACTCCACTTCAGAGCAAGATTCTGCCTCAAAAAAAAAAA